CATGAAGTAAGACCCAATTTGATCTAAGATTTTTTTTTTCACATTACATAGTGTTCAGCTCAATTAAAACTTTACTGACAGACTTTGTGACCATATTTACAAAAAAGGAACCAACACAAAAATATCCAAAAGCACAAAAAATAAATATATGCAGATAACAGAAAAAAAATTACAAATAAAACTATTTATCTCAAAACCAAACACCTCAAGCAGTGCCTTCTCCAGCTGGATAGGTAATGGGAAGTCACTGTCAAATTTGTGAGCACTGTAATTATACTGTTACCAGAATCATCCATTCATTATTTTAAAGTGAACATCAATTTTCTTAAAAGTGCTTTAAAGGGGCAGACACCCACAACTCAAAACATCAGACTGGCACTTCCATCCATCCTTAGGATGAATCTCAGTGCATCATTATTTGCTGAGGCGGGTAGAGTACCCAAAATTTGTACTCAAGAGTAGCATTGGTTCAACATATTTTTACTCAAGTAAAAGTAAAAAGTATCCATCCAGGAAATGACTCAAGTAAGAGTAACGATACTTCATTAAAAAAAATATTCAAGTAAAAGTAAAATGTACAGTGTAGTAAAAATACTCCTAAAAGTAATTTTTTTCCAATAAGTTACTTAAAGAAAATGTAAGTGAGTAAATGTAACTAGTTACTACCCAACTCTGATTATATGCAGCATGCAGAAAATGAATGCTGCTATGCTTGCAAGATGTCCACAAGGGGGCAGTATAGAGATGCCCTGTGTTAAGAGTTGAATATGACAGGCCCGGTCCAAATGCTCACCCTACGCCCTTCTTGAAGTGTGCACTCAGCTGAAGTGCACATAAGGGTTTGAGTGTGCAAAAACCAGAGAATTGAGACAGATAGATTACGTCATTGACCTGCGCCTTTGCATCACAGTTGCGACATCCAGAAGGGTGGGACAGGTCGCTGTTTTGGTATTTATACTGCTAAAAATGATATTAAAATTACAACAAACAATTGATTTTAGGAGAAGAAAGCCGAAGAAGGTTTAAATACTAGATTAGTAACACTAGATTAACACATGATTATTTCCTATGATTCAGATAAATTCAACAGCTAACTTCAAGCACTTTCCTATAAATCTAAGGTAATGATTTTTCTATTTTTATTGACAGACAGAAGGACCAAGCAGCCAATCAAGGTCACCTTGTCTTGAAATACTTCATGAAGAACTCTTTGATTCATCATGTGAAGAAGCTGAGATTCATCAACTTACAAACAGTCCAGAAGCTGATGATGATTGCTTAATTCAACCCCACAGTCAAGATGTAAAAGAAGTTCCTGCTGCCAT